CTCCTTTCGCATTGATCAAATAAATAAAAAATTACCGAACATATCACGTGACATGTATTTAACACGGTTAGATATTGACTCACCAATACACTACCAAAAAAAAAAAACTTATTACTAACAAACTTTTCTCACGAATAAATATTTATCTAAAAAATGATATTACGAGTAGATTTTTTCGATGGATGTATGTTCGTCTAAAACATAAATGATTCCGACGGATATTACCTACAAATTTTTTCTGTCTGAAATTTCAGATGAATTTTACTCGTGAATTTTTTCCGTGAAAAAATTATGATGTTTTATACAGCTATTTTTCACGGAGTATCTGTCTAAAACATTGTTCGTAGAAAATGAGAAAAAATTCATGAGTAACTTTAAAAAAAATTAATGATAAAAGATTAACAAATTAAATTTTACCTCTTCTTCACTTTCGTAATCTTTGGCCATAAGTCCCAAATTTACAACTTCATTTTCAAAGTCACTTGTAGAATCCATGTTATTTTCTTCCCAAGTGATATTAGCTTTCTTCCCTTTCTTTTCTTTGAAGCTTTTCTTGTTGGATTTTTCCATTTTTCTTTTATAGATTGGACATTCTAACCTCAAATGTCCCGGTTGATTACACTAACAGCATTTTGGGGTTGAAGAATAGTCTTCACCTTTTCTCTTATTGTTGAAGTTGGATCTTTTTCTGTTTCCTTTGTTGCTAAGGAATTTGTTGAATCTTTTTATAAAGAGGCTAAAATCCTCATCATCCTCTAAATCATCTTCCTCATTATTTTCTTCTTTCTCATCTTCTTCATGAATAGATGATGATGCTTTGAGTGCTATTCCCTTCTTTCTTTTATCACTTTCTTCATTTTGATTTAGTCTCTTTAGTTCCATTTCATGCTCTTGAAGTTTTCCAAATAGTGAGGCAAGAGACATGGTTGTCAAATCTTTTGATTCATCAATTTCAGTCACTTTCAGTTGCCATTCCGTACTCAAACATCTTAAAACTTCGTTAATAAGATCTTCGTTAGAGAACACTTTTCCTAGAGATGCAAGATAATTAATTATATGTGTAAATCTCTTTTGCATGTCTTGTATGCTTTCATTTTGATTCATTCTAAATAATTCATATTCATGAGTAAGAGTGTTTCTCCTAGATCTTTTAACATCATTTGTGCCTTCATGTGTTACTTTTAATGTATCCCACATTTCTTTTGCATTTATACAATTTGAAATTCTAAAATATTCATCTATGCCTAATGCAAAAGTAATTATATTTTTGGATTTCAAATTGTATTCAACTTTTCTTTTGTCATCATCACTCCATTGATCTTTAGGTAAATTTTTGATTTCATTGCCTACTACAATAGTGGGAATGAAAGGACCATTTTCAACAGCATCCCATATGTTTAAATCTATAGCTTTTATAAAAATTTGCATCCGAGATTTCCAATAATGATAACCTTCACCATTGAATATAGGAGGTCTATTAATAGAGTTTCCTTCGGGAAATAAAAAATTTGATGAGGCCATTTTTAATCTTGAATCTTTTAAGCCTTATACAAGAAACCTACTCTTGATACCATTGTTAATCAAGTAGCCTCGTATAACTTAAGAGGGGGGGTGAATTAAGCTAACCAATTTTTAATCTTTTATGAGTTTTTAGAATTGCATTCTAATAACTTCAATTTCTTAGAACAATTGTATGTAAAGTTTATTGATGCAAAACTACTCAAACTCAATTTAATAACAAGTAATTAAAAGTGTAGGTAAAGATAAATTGCAAACTTTTTTCATACTGGTTTGGCCAATCTTGCCTACGTCCAGTCCTCAAGTCTCCTACTTAAGATTTCTACTATTCTTGTAGTACTTATAAGACTTGAATCCTCCAACACTTTGGAACATGTGTTGAGATTCAAAAACTAACAAAGAGAACAACTCTTTCTCCTTTACAGATCAAATGATCAAGTGGGTATAACAGAGTAACTCTTTTTGAAGAGTAGATATTACACATTTAAGATCTTAATGAACTCTTTAGAGAATATTGCAAATTGCTTTGGCCACGAAAATTTTGTAAATATTTTTTTTCACAATAGAGTTTGTAACCTTTTCTAAAAGAACTATAGGTATTTATAGACAAGTATTCCTATTGTTGAGTCTTCTCATGAAAAGTTGTAACTCTTTATAATTTAAAAAAAAAATACATTGGTAATCAATTACAAGGAATTGGTAATCGATTACAACGGTTTTAAATTCAAAAACAATTTGAAACGTTGTATCTTTAAATTAAAATTTTGAAGTTCCCTCGTTTGGTAATCGATTACAAAGGATGGTAATTGATTACCAGAACTTATTTGTGTTTGAAATTCGAACTTTGAAGTTTCCTTGCTGTGGTAATCAATTACTTAAACTAGTAATTGATTACCGGACAACTATTAAAACATTGCTATATAAACTTTTGATATAGGAAACTTTTCTAATTATCGATCAAAAATATTTTTGTAAAATCTTTTTGAACACTCTTTTTACTTTCTTTTCAAAAAGATATAAAAACTTACTTTTATATTCAAAAATATTAGATTGAGGTTTTCTTGAAATTCTAGTTTTAATGGCCAAGTAAAATTTGAAATTTCTAAAAGTTCCTTTTACATATTTAGCTAAGTTGACAAGACTTATCTAGTTAATTCTTGGTATCTTATTCCTTGATCAACTTGCTTTAACTTGACCTTTTATTTTCAACAATGCTTTGGCATCATCAAAACTTTGTACATATGTTCCTCCACAAGGTTGGTAAAGAACATTCGCCCCACAGTAATCCCCATAGAGTTGGGAACCTGAAGACCCGAACAAAACGTTTATGTCTTTACTTGCCCTTGGAAAAAGCAATTGCAGTGTCTTGCTATCCAAAGGTCAAGTAAAGAGGGGAAACTATAGACACTAGTTTTTGTTTGGGGCACAAAAATAAAGATTTGGAAGCTCCTAAGCTAGAAAGGAATGACCATAAAAGACTCTGAGGAAGCAATAAACATCCAAGATGAATAAGGAAGGGGTCATCTCATGCCTTAGACTAGATGTTCCTAATCCAACCATTGAGATAGAGAAAAAATGTCGTAGGAGGTTATCATCCAAAATTTAGCTTGATCCAACGACTAACAAGTTCTCTAGAAATTCTGTATAGCACCTAAAAAAATTGTTTGTTTTTTGTGGATTTAGTCCCACCTCTAAAAAAAATCAAAGGACTAAGTCCCACATCTAACAATTCTCTAAGGATTTTGCCTCCTAGATGGCTATATAAGAAACCCCTTGGCAAAGGGAATAGACACACTTCAAGCTACAAAGCTCCCTCTCCCTTTCTGACTCTCTTTAGGGTACTTCGAGTGAAATAAACTCATTATAGTTCTGTTAAGTCAGAAGCGCATTCGCAATTCCTACCAAGGTTTTGCATATGACAAATATAGTACATATTGTTATTCCTAACATGTGCATTAGTGTTTCAGATGGATAATAATAAGTTCAGGAAAAAATAAAGGACAAAGTATGATCAAGAAAAATCGAATTGAACAAGACATTAGATGATAGTAAAGCTAGTATCAAGACTAAGGTTGATCTAGGCCTAAATCAAATACAAGATAAGATGAATCTATCAGTTGAAGCCTGAGGGATCAAATGTAAGACCAAAACAGGCATCATATGAGACTAAGTCAAGAACGGGACGAAAGTTGGCTAAACATCAACATGGATTTGCAAAGTCATCAGATAGAGCCTAACGAACAAGCAGACGAAGTCATCACTCTCATGACCAAACATAAAGGGTAGTCAAGACCAGAAGAAGAATCAAATATGTATCCAGACGTAGTCAAAAAATAGTGAAGCGTGTTTGAAGTCCACTAATCACATTGAGTGAAATCATAAAAGAAACACAAAAGGACATAAAACCTGAATACAGAAAGAAGAAAAATAGGCAAGCCTGGATTCACAAGTCAAAGCTGCGTGTGTTAGAAAAAGGACACCTACTTTTTAGAGAAAGACAACACCTCAACAGCTAAACTGATGAGAAAAGTACAAATATGCCTAGATCATGATTGAGGTCAGACATTGAAATAATCAACTACACAAAAGGACTTCACGTATAAAAGCAAACATTTAATGCAAGATCAAATGCATTAAATGAAAAGATTTACATAGCCATGAAAAGACCTCCATCTACAACGACATGAAGCTCCGCTCCAACGAAAAAATTTGAATTCAAACAATGGACAAATTTATCAACAGACTATAAGTATCAAGGCAAAGAAGAAGAAGAAGCAAAGAATTGAGAAGTAGAGAAAACATGCAATAAGTAAAGGAAAGTGAAAAAGCATAAGCTACATTGATATTAGCTTTCTTCCCTTTCTTTTCTTTGAAGCTTTTCTTGTTGGATTTTTCCATTTTTCTTTTATAGATTGGACATTCTAACCTCAAATGTCCCGGTTGATTACACTAACAGCATTTTGGGGTTGAAGAATAGTTTATCCACGAATTTATTCGTGAATAATTACCGAGGAATAAATAATAAAGAAGAATTGATATAATAAGTAAACGAGAGTAAATTTATTAAATAAATAATAATACTAATAATAACTCGCAGCTTCCCACCCCAGCGCAATTCTATCATATCCGGAGAATGTCTCACACACATAAGAATTTGGTCGAGTTCGAAGCCAAGATCAAATTATAAAGTTAAGTTTTAAATATAAGAATGTGGCTGATATCGAGCCAAGATTACGTTGTGAAGTCAAATTTGGCTCAAAATAAGAATTTGGCTGAGTTCGAAGCCAAGATCAAATTATGCAGTCAAATTTGACTAAATATTAAAATCTGGCCGAATTCGAGTCAAGATCAAGTTGTGAAGAGAAAACTTGGCTACGAACCTTGGCCAAAATAAGTTAATCCAAATTAAAACTAAAATCGCGAGATCACATCGCATTCAATCATTGCACTATCAAAATTAAAGTAAGCATTACATTGCCAAAATGCAAATATGTCATTATAAACTTGATCTAAGTTTACATAAGCAAATTTTAAAGCTATTAATATCCCAACACAACAACTTAAAAATGATAAACCTTAAATAATTAATTTTCCCCTAAGTATTATCTTCTTCATTGCTACTGGAATCCTCAGGTATTTCATCCTCATTAATGATTTTTCCCTTAAATACATCTTTATCAACATGTACTTCCCCAAAGTCAATCTCAGGAGCAATAAATTTAGCTTGCCGGATTGCCTTTGCAAATCCTCTTTTATGTTCTATGACCACATGATATTCTGTAGCTGTCAACTTTTTACTTAGCTCCATATTTTTCTTTTCCAAATCCGAGACTCTCTTCATATCACCAAGAACTTTTCCTTTTACCTCTTGACGTTCAGCTTGAAGTTGTTGAGCATGTCCTTCGCCTTCTTTCATCTTAATCTCCAACTCCAAAAAAGCTTTTTTCTGCAACTCTTTTTCCTCTTCCATCATCTTCACCTTATTTAGTAGCTCTTCCACCTTAGCCGAATACGATTTATTCGACCTCACAGATATCTCGAATGCCTTAGTCGTTTCTTCCAACTTTTTCTTTACTTCTGATAATTCAGCAGTTAAAGGAGCTATTTCAGTGTTTTACCCTTTTAATTTATCCATTTGAGAAACATTCTTCTCCCACTTTTTCTTCCAATGATCCACCACTCCGGAGAAATTAGAAGCAGCTATGTCTTCTGGCATAGAGCCCTATGACCATTCAAGATTAAATTTAGAGTTGTATTTTAAAACAAAGATATTAAATGTTAAGAACTCGCCGATTCCAAATTCGAATTATTCACATATTTCTTTTCAGTGTCTTTTTGACCAACTTCAGGATCGGTAATATCAATGATTTCGATGTTGGCCTCGCCTTCATGCTCGATATTGGCAGTTTGGACACCGATTTTCTGGCCAACATCGATCTTTTGCTTCACATCGGACTTCTCTTTCTCAATGTCGATCTTTGGCTTTTTTCTTCGATGAGAAGGTGCAAGGTTTGCCTCTAAAGTCTCCATTTCCTCTGCATTAAACTTGGCTTTTAATTGACGCCCCTTACTCTTCTCCATAATTTCTGCACATATCGAGAGCAATTGTTGATATAAGTTGACAATTTAGATATAACTTCAATGAGATATTATCATCATTACTTGCTCTCTAAATCTCCTTGTGGATCTTTTGAATTCGAGAGAGATAAAATGGCCTTGCTTTCTAAAGGTCGAGGTAACATTCGAAGTTTCTCTATGTCTTTCACCTCGGATTGGGTTAAAACTAAGCCTTCTATGCCGGAGAATTTTAAAGATTGTGATTGTCAATAAAAAGGAAATATTGGCTCACCCCCCAAATGAAAAACGGTATCCAAACTCGGATCATTCAATGCAAGACGAACCTTAAAAAATTTCTCCTTAAATTTTTTATAAGATTGGGTAAAAATTTGAAATAATGCCCCTTTCGAAATTCCACTCCACGATGATACCCATCCAAAAGGTGCTTCACCAAGTTTTAGTTGATAAAAATACATGAACCTACCCAAACTAATTTCAATATTTAAAACTGAACATAATATCTGAAAAGCCTGAAGGAAGCCCAGCTATTTGGGTGCAATTGACTCGAAGCTACATGAATTTTTCTCAGAAACTCGCACTCAAAAGATGTAAAAGGGATTAGGATACCTAAATCCTTGAACAACATGTATATACAAGGCATTGGGGAGGCATGACTAAAGAATACCCGTTCATCAGGAGAGCATGATTCAATAGAAACTTGTTCTACAATCGGGAGATTTTTATAAAGATACGGAGGCCTTACATTTTTATTCTCTATTTCGCGTATCTTCAGATTCAATAGGTGTCTTTTCGAGCCTCGCACCTCATAATAAAGGGTTTCCACTACCAAGGACTGGGAAATGAAGAGACGTCTCATAATAAAGGGTTTCCACTACCAAGGACTGTGAAATGAAGAGACGTCTCTTAAAGCCTAATAGGCATTAAAGACATACATTGTTGTGTGATTATTTCTTTAGTTTTTACAATGCCACGTCGCATCGTTTAGTCGATTGGTTCATCAATATAGTAACGCACCACTTTTTAATCACCTCTTTCGTTTTCCTGGACACTCAGAGCGGGGGCTTATGTACTGTATACACTGATCTTACCAGTATCGTGCCGAGCGTAGACGATATTTATGTATGCTTGGATGTGCATGAAGAGGAAGAGTAGCGTGAAGGGTAAGGAGGTGACGCTCATGAGCCTCGTGAGTAGGGATGGCAATAGCCCCATGGAGGCGGGTAATAGTAAACTCGTCTCTGTCCTACTGAATGATTGACCTCATACTCACTCCATATCTGCGCACATATCTATTAAGCGGATATCCATAAATTTCTTGAATATCCACAGGTATCTATGGATATCCATGGATATTTATAAAATTTTTAAGAAATTAAAAAAATTATATTACAAATAATTTTAAGTTTATATTTTAATGTCATTGAAATATTAAAAATAAAAATTCAATATTAATTTTAAATTTTTATTTAACGTTAATTTTGTTGAAATAATAATAAAAATTCAAGATAATCAATAACTTAAAATACATCAATCTCACAAGTAAGTTAAAGTCTCATCACAAAGTTACAATAATTCAATATCATAATTCCAAATGAAAGTAAATAACTTAAAATATATAAATTTTATTGGTCCAATCAAAGTTAGAAAATTAATCAAATTACATCCAACATAATTCTATAATATGTTTAAAACACATCGGTAACTTCATCAACCTCACTTTTGTAAAAAAATAAAATGAGAGTGTAGTTTTAGGGTTATGTAATATAAAGATAATTAGGATATTTAAGAAATAATGTTAAACGGGTACCCGCGGGTATGGATATCATCATATCCGCCCCCGCCCCATTTATAAACGGATAAAAAGTTATCCGTCTCCATTATCTGCAGGTACCCAATTAGCCTATCCATTTATTAGTCTATCCATTTATTATCTGTAGCAGATTTTATTCACATATACCTGCAGGTGCAGGTATTTTTGCCATCCTTACCCATGAGACACGTCAAGCTAGGATTGTCGAGACTTATCATCATTGCTAGCTTTTAGCTAGGGTTAGTCAAAGACTTGCACCACTCAAGTGACACACTTTTTTACCATCTAACCTTATTTTATAAACTAACTCTTCCAGGTTTCTTTTAATTTTTTTTTTTTAGATTAGTAAAATCATTTTAGTCATGTTAAAGTTATTGTATATAGTAACGACTTCATCTGTATTGCTATTAACTGTAATAATTAGCCAGACAGTTCTACAATTTTTTTTTCTTTTTTGTTTAGGTGTGGTTTATGACTATTTTAATTTTTTTAATTTAGTTGATGTTATTATTTTATGAATTATATGATGTGTTATTTAATTTGTTATATTAATTATTTGATATTTGTATAAAATATATTTATTTAATGTATTAAAATTAAATATTGTACTATCCGATCTGTGAAACTGAGCTCAGAGCTCGGCACCACGACACAGGATGACCTCGGATAGGCGTTATATGACGTCAGTCCGGTACTTAAGCAAATGATAACTGACCTCAAGGGATCTCACCCCAGGCAAGATATGTTATCTGATCTTATCATATCCTATCTCAGGCCCAGAGCCCAAAACAACCCTAACTCACACTGAGGTACGTGCATTATTTATACGAGACTCATACTCATACAAACCCTAACTTTAGCATCGGAGTCTCTTTTGCAGGTACCTCCCCCATCTCGGAGCACCAATACACCACCAAAGGAGGCTTACCGGTCTTACTGGACGGATCACCACCACGACCAAATTCTGGTAAGAACATTTGGCACCCACCGTGGGGCCGATCACGACAGCTCTCATCAGCCACCTGTATGGTTTCTACTAGGAGCCACATCAGACGAGCAGCGGACGACGTAAGCCACTCAGTCACCATGGATAGCGACACAGCAACATTGAGAAGGCTGATCGACCAGGTCGAACAGATGCGACAACAGCATGATACCGACCTCCAGAACATGCGCACTCAGCATGTAAACGATCTCGCAATCATGCGAGCCGCCAACGAAGCAGAACTCGCGGCCTTATGTGCCAAAAACGAGCGAATTTGCTCCCAACTCCCTCGACACCATTCCAACCAGCCTCCCCACGAGAGCGACACGCGCGAGGAAGAGGCACATTCAGCCACCCAATCTCTGGCGACGAACAAGGCACCAACCTCACGGCCTGCCACGCACCGATCTCACGCACCGACGCACAAGTCGGAGCAGGGCACCAGCAAGGCCCCCACCCATGCTTTCAAAGGCCAAGAGCCCTTCCGCCGTCATCCTTTCGTGGACGGCATTATGGAAACTCCGCTACCCCGCGGGTGGAAACCCCTCCACCTCGACCGCTATGACGGCACAACGGACCCCGACGAACACATCGATTCCTACACAACCCAGGTGACCCTCTACACTAATAGTGATGTTATACTGTGTAGGGTTTTTCTGACTTCACTTAAGGGAGCGACACTTCATTGGTACACCCAACTACCCGCCGGATCCATCGACAGCTTCAACACCCTGGTAAGGCGATTCATGGCACAGTACGCCACCAGCCGACCTCACCACACCACCTCGGCCGCTTTGGTCAACCTCAGACAGAATGACGACGAGCCCCTGCGAACCTTCATGGAACGCTTCTCCAGCATCTCGGTAAGGATACGGAATTTGAATTCAGAGGTCGCCCTACACGCCATGCTCATGGCACTCAAGCCCGGGCCATTCGTCGACAGCCTATGTCGCGACGCCCCCCGCGACACGGACGAACTCCGCGCCCGCGCGGCCGGATACATCCAGATGGAGGAACACTCCGCCTTCCGCGACCAGGTTCGCGAAAAAGCCCCAGCAAAGTCGGAGCCCTTGGATAAGGTCAAGGTCAACAACGACAGTCAATTCAAGAAGTCGACTAGAGCAAGCAGAGGAGGAAGATACAATGTCTACACTCCCCTAAACGCACCCAGGGTACACATCCTGGAGGAAGCCAACAACAACAACTTGCTTGCCCTTCCACCACCAAGCAGCACCCCCAACAACGTCGACAAGTCCAAGCACTGTCGGTACCACAGGAACCATGGTCACACCACGGAAGAATGTCGCACACTCCGAGACCGCATCGAAGAACTCATTCAAGCGGGTCACCTCGGCCAGTACGTACAGCGACAACAGGGCAACAGAGGTGGCCATGGAGGTCGGGGGCGCGGCAGGGGACGAGGCTCAGGAGCTCGTACTGACGCACACCCAGGTCCCCAACAAAACGCTAGCGGCGTAGTACAAGCCGAGATAAGCCAAGAGACGGAGTCAGCCCAATTACGGGGAATAATCAACACAATAGCGGGCGGTTTTGCTGGAGGAGGCGCCAGCAGCTCGGCCCGGAAAAGACACTTGCGGAACATTAACTGCGTCCACTCAACCACCTCGGTCCTACACCAGAGTTCACCACCGATCTCCTTCTCCGACGAAGACTACGCCGGCCTTAGCCCTAACCAGGATGACCCTATGGTCATCGTTGTGGAGATAACCAACTAGAAAGTGCAAAAAACACTCATCGATCAGGGAAGCTCGGCTGATGTCCTGTACTGGCCAGCATTCCTCAAACTAGACATCCTCCACTCTCTCATTCAACCTCACACGGAGCCTCTAGTCGGCTTCGCAGGAGAGCGAGTCCATACTCGGGGATATGTAGACTTGTTGACGACCTTCGGAACACCACCAGACACAAGACGAGTCATGGTCCGGTACCTCCTCGTGGAAGCCAATACTTCCTACAATATCATCATCGGACGGCCAACCCTGAACCAACTCGGAGCGGTCATGTCAACTCCACACCTCACCATGAAGTTTCCAGGAAAGGACGACAAGGTCATCACAGTCAGAGCTAACCAGAAGACAGCTCGGCAATGCTACGCCGAAAGCTTGAGGATCTCCGCACCAAGCAGGCAAAGCAAGGGGAACCCCCTCACTATAGCCCCTTAAAGTTTTTTAAAACTTCTTTTACTTTTAGCACAAACAAACTGTGCACTCTTTTCCCTCCTTAGTCCTCGACTGAGAGGGCTTTTAATGAGGCATACAAAAACTATCAATAAAATCATTCGTTTCGCACAATCTATCACCTCATTTATCGCCTTTGCATGAACGAAATCACGCACCCTAAGGGCCCACACTTACAACGTAAGGTCGAATACGAACCTTACATGCCTATCCGAGGTCAAGTCTGAACCTCGTAAAATTCGTAAGGTCGAGTACAAACCTTACATGCTTATCCGAGGTCAAGTTTGAACCTCGTAAAATTCGTAAGGTCGAGTACGAACCTTACATGCCTATCCGAGGTCAAGTCTGAACCTCGTAAAATTCGTAAGGTCGAGTACAAACCTTACATGCTTATCCGAGGTCAAGTTTGAACCTCGTAAAATTCGTAAGGTCGAGTACGAACCTTACATGCCTATCCGAGGTCAAGTCTGAACCTCGTAAAATTCGTAAGGTCGAGTACGAACCTTACATGATTATCCGAGGTCAAGTCTGAACCTCGCAAAATTCGTAAGGTCGAATACGAACCTTACATGCTCATCCGAGGTCGAGTCCGAACCTCGCCAAAATTGCAAGGTCGAATACGAACCTTAGCACATTCATTTACAGGTCGAATCCGAACCTTAATGCACTCATCCGAGGTCAAGTTTGAACCTCGCTAAAATTACAAGGTCGAATACGAACCTTATACCCTTATTCGAGGTCAAGTCTGAACCTCGCTAAATTTGTAAGGTCAAATACGAACCTTAAATACACCTATCCGAGGTCAATGTCAAAGTCGAACCCTGATACTCAAAGCCGAGGTCAGGTGCGAACTTCGGCGAAATTATAAAGGTCAATTTCGAACCTTCATTGAATCGTCATATTCAAATTGGAGGACGAATTCGAACCCCGACACGCTTACTCAAGGTCAAATACGAACCTC